TCATCCTTCTAACGTTTCTAAATGTATATTCGCTGTAGGAGATGTGGTACGTGTTTCCAAACTAAAGCTTACTTTCGAAAAAGGCTATGAAACCAATTGGACGGAAGAACTATTTGTGGTGACAGAGTGTGTTAAAAGACATCCAGCCGTGTATAGAATTAAAGATTTACTTGGAGACTCAGTAAAAGGAACGTTTTATGCACAAGAGTTGCAGAAAGTGAGACTGAAAGAGGAATATCGCATTGAAAAAATTTTAAAGAAACGTATGCGTAAGAAACAGACAGAATACTTTGTAAAATATCGCGGTTATCCCGACAAATTCAATCAATGGATTCCAGCTTCTAATTTACTCTCGATATAAAGTGTGAGAAAATATTGTATCCGAATCATTTGTGAAAATGAGTTTCTACGTAACACTTCCGAGCGATAGCTCTATGAATCTATGAATTATTTCCCCGAAAATAAAATTTCACATTTTATAACACGTTTACCTGTTCCCATTGAATTAAAAGGTATGTGGGAAGTTGGTTTGGTTGAATTGCTATATCCGCACACATGGCACAATGTGAATGCAGACAATAACTTAATTGGATTTGTTTTAGAGAAAGATGGTGAAATGTTAGGTCGTAGATTACCTCCAGGATGTTATGAAACAGTACCTGATATTTTAAAAGCTATTTATATTAAAGAACATCAAAACAAAATAATATTTAATTATAACCCAGTAACAAAACGAGTGAAAATCAAAGTGAAAAATAACGCTAAAGTGTGATTTTACATGATGGGTTAGCACAAATGTTAGGTTTTGAACCTATGGAAATTACATCTACAGATGATAGTTCCGAAACTGTTGTAGAAAGTCCTTTTGCAGCCGACCCCTGTGCACATTATCGTGTATTAATGATATATACGGATATTGTAGAACCTCAAATCGTAGGAGATGTTTTAGCTCCTCTTCTTCGAATTGTAAGAGTAACTGGTAGCGATGGAGAAGTGGTGAGTGCACTATTTGATAGACCTCATTATTTACCTGTGAATCGGAAAATGATAGACACTTTGGAAATCGATATAAGAACGCATATGGGAGCATTTACGCCATTTGAACGAGGAAGGTCATACGTGAAACTTCATTTCCGTCAAAAATACTTGTCATAATGTATGTACCTTATCAGTGTTGTCAAAAATCTTTTGAAGATTATTATGTACAACAAACAGGACATGGATTGAATTATTATCAAGGTAATCTTTATCAGAGAGGATACGGATTAGGGGGTCTATTCAGATCCTTCTTTCGCGCTGCCGTACCTCTTATTAAATCAGGAGCCAAAGCAATTGGAAAACAAGTATGGCATAGTGGACTGAATTTGTTAAATGATGTATCACAAGGACAAGATGTAAAAGAGGCTGCTAAGCGTCGACTGAAAGAAGCCGGAAATATATTAACGGATAAAGCTGCTACTAAAGTGAAGAACATGATTGGTTCTGGACGAGTCAATAAAAAGCAGAAACGTAGGAAAAAGCGTACCATTTCTCACCGATCAAAGAAGGTGAAAGCACAGGATATTTTCTCTTAAAAAAAAAAGTATGACTTCGTATATTACATCGAGACTCTCCCGTTTGCGTCAAATCTGAATTAGATTTATTTACCATTCCTCCTACGCAAACAGCTATAGAAAAAGGACAGTTTGTGGAATATCACCCTCTCGCAAATATACGAGATGGAGGACCTATCGAATTTAATATTTCTGGCAGTGGTGAAGACTATATTGATCTAGCTGCTTCTTATATACACGTGAAAGTTAAAGTAGTTAAGGCAGACGGATCCAATCTAACAGACAAAGAACCGGTTGCCCCTGTAAATTTATTTTTACATTCTCTCTTTTCGCAAGTAGATGTAAGTTTAAATGAAAGAAACATTTCATCTGCGACAAATACCTATCCCTATAGAGCCTTCATCGAAACATTATTGAATTATGGGGAAGATGCAAAGAAAAGTTTACTCACCTGCGAAGGATTTTTCCAAGACACTTCACCTAATAAAATAGATGTCTTAGCTCAAGATGCGGATGCTGGACTAAAAGCTCGCGGTGAACTTATAAAAAACAGTCAAAGTGTGGATTTGATAGGACAATTACATTGTGACATTTTTCAACAAAATCGACTCATGTTAAATTTAGTTGATGTGAAAATTAAAATGGTGCGTAGTAAATCTGCTTTCTGTCTAGTTTCTACTGAGAAAGATGCCGATTATAAAGTGATCTTGGATCATGCTTCTTTGTTTATCAGAAAAGTAAAAGTAAACCCTGGAGTCTCTCTCGGACATGTAAAAGCGTTGGAAAAAAGTTCTGCTAAATACCCTATAGATCGAGTATTATGCAAAACATATTCAGTATCTAAGGGAAGTTGGTCTTTTATGCAAGATAATGTATTTTTAGGATTGATGCCCAAGCGAGTCATTATTACTTGTGTAGAAAATGCTGCAATGAATGGACAATATTCAATGAATCCCTTTCTGTTTGCCCATCATCATGTCAACTTTATATCGATTTATGTAGATGGACAACCCGTTCCATGTAAACCAATGGACCTTGATTTCGAATCTAATCATTATGTGCGTGCTTACCACAGTTTATTTTCTGGATTTAATCGCGACAAAGGCATCTATTTATCTCGAGAAGAATTTGTGAAAGGACATGTGTTATATGCTTTCGATTTAACTCCAGATATGTGTGATGGATCTCATTTTAACTTACAGCATCAAGGTAATTTGCGAGTAGAAATTAAATTTGCTAAAGCTCTCTCTGTGACTCTCTCGGTGCTAGTCTATGCAGAATTTCAAAACGTGATTGAAATAACAAAATCTCGTCATGTACTATGCGATTTTGCTAATTAAGCAATGGACAGCCTTGAAATAAACAGAGCACTCTCTCAGAATGCAAAGACACGAAAAGCATTTCTGGGAGTTTTTGCAAGTGATCGACTCCCTATCGAGATCAAGAAATATCCAAGTTGCTTTATAGCTAATGTAGATCGTGCATCTGAATCCGGTAGTCACTGGTTAGCCTTTTACATTTCATCCCCACAGCATTTAGAATTTTTCGATTCCTATGGACATGACCCATCCTATTTTCCTGGACCGATAGCCAAGTATGCAGAACGATTTCCACAGATGGACTTTAATTCGATGACTCTCCAAACTAATGTAACAGCAGTATGTGGTCAATATTGCATATACTATTTACATTGTAAATGTCGTGGACAATCTCTCAATGATATATTGTTATCTTTCATACCTCAACATATATCTAATGATATTAAAGTATATAATTTTGTAATCAAGAAATTTCATGTAAGATCTTCTTTCTATCAATAAATACATTTAAACTTTATACATTATGTGTCTTGTCTCATTTAATATGGAATTTCCAAAGCTACAACATCCTTTCACAATGGTGATTTCGGGACCCACTGGATGTGGGAAAACCTATTTTGTACGAGAACTGTTAAAGTATAAAGAGGAAATGTTTTCAACGATTCCCGATAAAGTAGTATGGTGTTATGGAATTTACCAACCTCTGTATAATGATATACCGAATGTTACTTTTGTCGAAGGTTTACCAATTAAATATCAAGAATATTTAGGTTCCAACACATTATTCATCATAGACGATTTGATGAGCGAATGTGGGAATGATAAACGTCTGACTAACTTATTTACAAAAGGAAGTCATCATTTAAATTTAAGCGTTATTTTTATCACACAAAACTTTTTTCACAAGGGAAAAGAAATGCGTGAAGTGACTTTAAATGCACACTATTTGATTTTGTGTAAAAACAGAAGAGATGTCAGTCAAATCGTACATTTAGGAAAACAGCTCTCTTTCCGCGTCATTTAAAGTTTTTTCAAGAAGTATATGAAGATGCAACCAAGAAACCTTTTTCTTATTTATTCATTGATCTGCGCAGTGAAACTCCGGAAGAATTACGTTTACGCACCCAAATTTTACCTAACCAAGTACAGTATGTTTATCAAATGAAACATTATTAAAAAATAATAAAAACAACAGCTTTATAAAATGCATCATCATTTTATAAAATGACGCTGGTCAAGAAACAGCTAAGACAGTTACAGCTGTTAAACATTTGTCCGTTAAAGTTACGGAAACAGCTATTAAAGAAAATTAATATCAATTGCATAAAAGCTATATGCGAATGTAGTTTAAACATACTCAAAGGAAACGTTCCATTGTCAGAGCAACAAAAGAAGTCTCTCTGTAAGCATAAAACAACTTTACGAAAATTAGGAAATCGTAAGATTTCTCTTGTGAAGAAACGAAAATTAATTTTACAAAAAGGAGGTTTTCTAAACGTTTTGATTCCTGCTGCTCTCAGTGTTCTTACAGGACTAATCAATGGAGTTCACTAAGAAATATGTGTTAGTTCCAGAAGAGATGATGACAAAGCATACCATTTCTGATAAACAGTTAAGTGAATTGGATAAAGCCATGATGCATATTTTAAACAGTTCAGTTGACGATCGTGAGAAATTAGTGCGTTATTATGAACTTTTACAAAAGAAATTGAACTTAAAGGAATACAATTCACCCTTTAAACCTCCTAAAGACGACTCACAAAATTCTTTAGACGATTCAGCTGAGATCAAGAAAGTGAAAGAGGAAGAAGCCCCCTTCATCTGTGACAGACGGCGACAAACAGATGACTGTAACTGATTATTCTACTGTTATCTTAGACAGTGTACCTTTACGAATGAGAAGAAAAGCACAAAATGCATTAGCTATTTTAAAGCGACATCCTGATATTCTTAAGTGGAATGATAAAGGCGAGGTACTTTATCATAAGGAAAAAATTAAGCATTCAAATATTATAGACTTATTCAATATCCTTTTTACAACCAAAAAGAAAAAGATTAATATTCCTGCTAAAACGAATTTTTAAAAGCCTTGACTGAAATCAACATGCCAATGGACTATATCAAAAATGAAAATTTACAGAATCATGATGTTAATATGAAAAAAAAAAAAATATTGCATGTTAAATCTGTAAAACATATACGTTCTCCACGAAAATGGGAACCTTATTAAATGAATAAAATTATTATTTTTACATATAGACTCTTTCTTCTCTCTACAATCAATATTTGTTTTACATCGTTTTTAAATGTTATGAAAAACATTCATTTCACCAAGAAGCTTTTACCTTTCAATACATTTATTTTCAAAGAATAAATTTCTGTATTATACATAAAATATACTTGGAATTTTCTTTCATTAGTTAATATCAAATTAACAGCAATATCCATTTACTGACATTTGATATACACGTTTGCTTTAAAATTAAAACTAAAATTTCAATATATTTCTATTAAAAACATAAGGAAAAAAAAATAGTCATAACATCAACCAAACACAGAAATTTAAATAGAATAGCTGTACTTATATCAATGCATTTTTATAATCTTCATAACATTTCGATTCAAAAAACCTATCACAAAATAAATGAACAATTTTTTCCTGCCTTAAAGAATCTCTTATATTTTTAAAATTAATACATAAAAATATATCTTCACCAATATAATTCATCAACACTTATCGTAATACATTCTTGTCTTGTCTTGTTTGGGAAGGACAGTCTGTCCGGCGTCATTATATTATTGCGTTATCATGGTAAGATAGGTTAATGGAAAACTCTGATAATCACTGAAAAACTTATTTGAAAGAGTTGTTATTCTTAAGTTTGACATTACTTATACATATATGCATAAGGGTAATCTTAAAAGCATCATCCACTTATCATGATAGAGTAATGGAAAATTTCTAAAACTCTGATAATCATATGCGAAAGAATGTATTATCTTAAGGTTGTTGTTGCTATTCCAAGTTTGACAATACATACAGAAGTGAAGGAAGATCCTTGATAAGCGTTGTAGACTTCACGTTATCATGATAAGGGTTTAATGGAAGTTGAAGTTGTATTCGAAAGAAAGGGTTATCCTGGTTCAGATTACACAAATCTGGAATGTTGGAGAACATTCTTTAATCCCTATAAAACGCTGTGCGTCAGAAATGGAAGAAGTCAGTTCGCTCGACAATCTCGGAAAGAGCAAGTCTTCCTGATTAATATTTTCTAAATTGAAAATGTCAACTTTTGAAAATGATGTTGCTGGAGATCTGATAATCAGTATGGTTCCGGAACATGTAAGTTTTTTTTTTTTTTTTATAAAATATTTTATTTTGCAAAAATTATTTTAGGGTGGATCATTCCTTCAGGACCTTTTATGTGAGGGAAAAGTTTTAAAATGGATTATTACAGATTAAGTTTTTCAGTTTGTTAGGTATGTTTTACATGATTTACGGTGTGAATTTTTAGTATCAGTGTATGTTTTGAAGTTTTAGTACCTCATTCGAAAGTTTAAACTTATAACGTGAACTTAGTTAACGCTGATAAATGTTTCTTGAAGAGGTATTGATATTTAATTACATGTGTATAGTTGTGATTTTTATATTACATTTTCAGTTTTATGTATTGCATATAATTTGCAAAGTTGTTGTGTTTT